AAGCACGGCAGTAATCAGAGCTGGTAGCTCCTGATGGGCGAACGGTTTCTGGAAACCGGAAGCGCCGGTGCTGGGTGACGTCACTCCCCTGTCGCGGGTGTCGAGACCTCCTCCGCTCCCGGAGTCGATTGTCAATGCGAATAGAAATAGAGATTAAAGCATCTAAATCAACAGGTTCAGGATAGGAGATTAATTCATCCTTTATGTCATCACTCAGACCCTTGGAAAAAGCTGCTTGGAGAGCCACCGCGTTCCAGCCACTCCCCTCTGCCAGCGTGCGGAACTGCACAGCGAACTCAGCCACGCTCCGGAACCCCTGGCGAAGAGAAAGCAACCTCATGGAAGCGTCAGGGCCCCTCATCGGATGGTCGAAAACCTTGCGTAGCTCAGAGCAGAAGGTGGCGTAGGAAGAGGTAGGTGTGGACTGCTTCTCCCATACTGCTGAGGCCCATTGCAGAGCGTCTCCTTTTAATAGCCCAATAACAAAAGCAATCCTGGATCTGTCCACAGCGTAGGTGCGGGGCTGTTGTTCGAAAACCAAATCACACTGCATTAGAAACGGTTGACAATGTGAGCTTGGTGGCAGGCTCGGTGGCAGGCTCGGCGGCAGGCAGGGTGTGCTCCTCCAGATAAAACAGGCAGGTATGGGCATGAGGGAAGGCGACCTCTCCAGAGCTATACGACATAATATGGATCAGGTGTGCTAATCAGTCTGCCAGACAGGTGAGTGAGCCATCCCCATGCTTCCCCACCAGTCACGCCTCCTGTCAAACTGCAAGGGTAGAAAGAGAGGTCGAGCAACAGAAAGTAACAAAACACAGACAACCACATACCGACACTCCCAGCATAGTCATAGTTGAGACCTCGTGACACCAGAGGCCAAGGACCGTGGTCGCGAAGTTTAGATGCAGAGAAAGCATTTGACAGAGTATTCGCTATTCGCTACTTTACATAAATTTGGATTTGGAGACTCTAGGCAGGATTAAAATCTTACACAGTTCCTCAAGAACTTCTGTCAGGATAAATGATCATACTTCTCCAAGCTTTACACTGTTAACCCAAAAGTTCATTCTATGCAAACAGTTTGAGTAAATACCACTTTTAAAGATTAGTTTTATTGCATCACTTAAGCAGTATGAGGATATGAAGAGTGTAGTCAGAGACAGTCATTGGGTGTACTAATTTTTGTAAGTTTAATAAATTTAAACTATCAAGTTTTACCTCAGGCCACAGTGCTGCCCTGTTGTGATTGGCTCAAAACTCAAGACAAGTCTGTGCTTGTCCGTTGGCGGTTAGAGAAAGTTGCTCCATTTTCTAATTTACACAAAGCAATTTAAGGTCTTTGCACTTTGCATGCCTGCATTTTTTTGTTTTAGCAAGTTTGGACGCTTTTAAAGGACATTTGCCTGCCGTAAAGAGGATACCATTTCTGTCTGAATGAGGTGAGATGTTTTCTTTATTCAAGTATTAGAAACTGCTGGAACATATCTAGTTTGAAATGTGTACATTTGAATGTGTGTAAATTTGAGGTTGACTTATAGGTACATTTTTAGCGTTTAGCAATTGTGGTTTTTGAGTGGCTCTCTACTTGTGTCTTTAAATTTCTTGTCTTTTTTGTGTTACATACATCATTGGTCAAGATGTGCAGAGAGGCTTATTAGTGTTATAAGTACCTCTGCCTAAATATCATAAGTTATTTCATATTTTTCAGGTGTACTTGGAGTTTAACAGGGATGTTGGTAGAAATCTTAAAGAAGAGTTCTTCGGTGTTCTTGATGGTTTGTGTCCAAGCTTGATGTAAATCAATGGTGGTTTGATATTTCTGTTTTTATTGTTATGATATTGATAGTTAGTTCATACATATTACAAAAAATAATTCTCCCACCTTCCCTTGTGGTACTTCTCTATATGAACAAATAAACTGATAAAGATTTATTTCTAGTGTTATATCTCTTTGCAGAGCACTGAGCCAACAGCCATTAGATGCCTTATCTTGACAGGACTTCTAGTCATTCTTGGGGGTGATGCATCTATGTTCTTTAAGAGCAGTTCGATGAGTAAAGTTTTTTGATTTCATTTTCCTATGTTTTGTTTATTTGGGATGATGAGTTCCCAGAGGAAAAATCTTTTGCTCAGAATAGTCTTTTCTTTAACTCTTGAGAAAACACTAAGATCTTAATAGTATATGTTTTTGAGATCACTCCAATCTGAACTGTTGCTCCTAAAACCCCTTAGGAGAAAAGGATGAGATGAAGAGAGATTGAGGTTTTGAGACTTGGGTAAAACATATGGATACTGAATTGAAATTAGAATAGGATAAATGGAAGTAACAGATGAGATCTCATCATTGTATCTTTTTGACATCATTGTCTTGCTTATTGCTCCTAAAAAGGAGTTGGGAGAACTGTGGAGATGTTTTGAGTTTGATTGTATTACATTACTGTCTATGGTTGGAGAACCATGCTGGAGGTTTGCCCTGAGCTGGATTTGAACCCCACTCCTGCTATGCTGCCAAAACTTAAAAGGGGAGAAACACCATATATAAGTCCTCAAAATTCTACTCAAGTAAAAGGTATAAAAGTATTCCATAGTGAATGTACTTAAGTATCAGAAGTAAAAGTGTTTATTCTGTATGACAGATACATGTTGTATCTCAGTTCTTGCGTGCATTCGGTCCTTAATGAATTAATCTCTAAACATCATGTCAAAGTATTGGGTTTTCCAGTTATGCTGGCTATGACAAATTGGAAAACATGACATTTGAAAGTGCATTATTTTCAATGTCAAAATGTATTTTATTATTTTTCGCAGTAAATTGTAACAATATATAATATAAGTTAATTATAAGTATAAGATATCTTATATAAGTATATAAGATAATTAACAATAAATACAATAAGGATTTGAAATTAAAGGGAGTAAAAGTACAAACCACCATAAAAAGAAAATTCTCAACCTCAACATTTGACTTAAGTAATGTACTTGAGTAAAATAACTAAGACACTAAGTCACTAAGACAAAACTGAGAAATATCTTGGAGCCTTTTTTCTGATCCACATTCTGGAAACTGAAATTATACTTATTTAAGATACTGTAGAGATCTCATCTTTTGATCAGAGTAAGACAGAGATGAGTTTTTCCTGAGGGAGCTATGAGAAAACCGAGACATATTTGAGAAGAATCATTAGATCCCAGGAGTCATAGCTGAGTTTTCTTTGAGCTCTTTCTCTGATCTCATCCAATGTTCAGGAGACTTAAATAAGACAAAATAAAAATATTAAAAGAATTCAAACACAAAATGTACACCAGAAGATAAGCCTTTATATGGATGATGTATTACTTTTCCTCCTAAACTCACAAACTTCTCTTTCTGAGAATAAATTCTCACCCATTCAGACTATTCCATTAACTGGAGTAAATCCATAGTTTTACCTGTAATGTTTGATTTCCAGAGTATATCTACCACAGCGCTAAAGTCAGGGAATATTAAATATCTGGGTGTCAATATTTCCTCTAGAATGTCAGAACTGACATGGCTTAACTACACGCCTCTGCTTAAATCAATAGAGGATGACCTTGTGCGATGGACATCATTGCCCATATCACTCATGGGAAGAGTCTCCCCCATAAAAATGATGGTCCTACCTAAAATCAATTACCTGTTTACAATGTTAACCACCCAACCCTCAGCTGTCTGGTTTAAGTCACTGGACTTAAACATTGCTAAATTTTTGTGGAAAAATAAACAAATCAGTTTAAAAACTCTACAAAAAGCTAAAGATTGTGGTGGTTTAGAACTGCCAAATTTTTCTCATTACTTCCTGTCCAACAGACTACAATTTATCTGGGGCGGGACTTTAATAAAGTTGATATGCTACAGCAAACCTTAATCCTCTCTTGTTAAAGTAAAATCTGTCTGGCAGAACATTGTTTCCAGCTCCTCATACTCTATACTAGGCTGCTTGGAAGGACAGTTAAAAAATAAAATAAAATTATAATATTAATAAATCACACTAAGTAGCAAAATACATCATAACAATATGTAGGCTTAGGCCTATGTATGCATTTATTTACCTTTTCACGTTTCCTTGGTATAATTGCTTAATGTTAGACTTTTATAGAATGGCCCTTCTATCCTCCTGGCTTATTTTGAGAGTTATTTTTTATTCTGTGTCACCTTTCATCAATCTTCAATTCAAACAGGAAAATTAAAAAATTTGGACCGTGTTCTGATTTTGGTTTTCTCATTTTTCAATTTTGGATTCTGACATTAAAGGAAAAGCACAAGCACCCAATGTGAGGCAAGGGTTTTATGTTTGTTACATTCAAAGTCAACCGCAGGTGGACCAAAAAAACAAGAAAAACATGAAGGATATGCTGGGGGAGTTTCTCATTGTGGACAGAGTCAGAAAATCGACTGTGAAGCAGGACTGTATTAGTTGTGGCATTTGGAACCCCAAACTGCAGGCCACAGACTCTCAGTAATGGTTAGGCTAATTGGGGTATGTATGCTTGAGTCCTCGCCTCCATAAGACACTTCTTATTTGCTCAGCTTTTTTTGGATCCCCTATCCCTCTTTGATCCCTCTTTACCAACCTGGTCCATCCCCTTTCTCAATGGTCCATAAATTCTCTACTCACAGCCTCTTTGAGTATTGGATCATAGGGTTTGAGGACCAAATGGATATTGCAAATGTTGCAGAGAGAAGGCTGCCTCCACCCTGCTGTCAGCCTGCCTAGCTCACTCAGTAGGGCATGAGCCTCTTAATCTCTTGATTGTGGATTTGAGGCCAATGTTGACAGGACATTTAGGAAGCACATCAGAAAGTACTTAGTCTGCATGTGAGGTGCCAGTCTTTTTGGGAGAGCCAACCTATCCAAGATATTATAATGATGCTACAAATGTGGCAGAGAGAAGGCTGCCCCCCATCATTTGTACATCAACTTTGTCATGAATGAAAGATTACTTACAGAAAAGGGAAAAACATCACAAAACTCAGATGAAGTCCAACAATGTGGTTTATTTAGAAGAAACAAGGCAACATTACAACACCAGTCAGGTAGCAACATTCAGACATCACTTTAGTTCTGCATATAGAGAGAATGGTTACAGCTTTTGTTTAACACCTTCAGCTTATTGTGTGACCAGCTTATTCTTCTGTTATTTTAGGCAGCAATGAAACTGAGCACCATTTGAATTGATAACAGAGATAACTTAGGTTGAACAGTCGACTGAACCAAGTCCGTAAGTTTGAGAATAACACAGAAGATCCTTTCACCAGTTTTAAATATCTGCTCTGTGCAAAAGCCCTTTTAGTTTTTTTCACCTGTACTGCAATAGGGATTGTGATAGTGTTAACAGAAAGTAATGCAGTATGATTTTTCAAAATTATGAAATGTTTGAATAATCATACTGCAATGGAAGATATTTGTTGTATGGTCTGTGTCACTGCATTAATTACAGATATAATATTTACACAGATTAGGTTTAAAGGAATAATCCACCCCAAATCAATCTTTTCAACACTTGCTGTCTGTAGGCTTGTTTGAAGATCTTAATGGCTTCCTACTTCGCAATTGGTATCCCTTTGAATCTACATCTCTTCCAAATGAACCTCAGAAGTAAACGATTGGTTCTCATTTTACTTTTCATAGAAAATAGTCTTTTCATAGTCTTCGTTAGCATCTGTTTGCTGCAACTAATCTACAGCTGTTCCAACTCCTTTAAAATGGGCACAATCCACACACTCACATGGCATTCTTTCTTTTAATTATAGTTATTTGCCAGAATATTAAACCACATTTGGATTTGATTTCAACATGCAACACCTGCAGCTGGAATTTTTATTATTTGTCTACAAAATGTTCCAGGTTTCAGATCAAGAAATTTGAGCACCGTCCTCCTAAGAACAAGGGAGGCAGAAGAAGTAATAGGGCCATATGGTCTTAATTTTCTCTGCTGACCAAGCCTTAAGGTTCGAGAGTGTCTTTGTGTGCGAGGACACAAGTTGTAGGGAGGGAGAAGGAAATTACAAAAAAAATGGCATGGGTTCCTTTTTTCCTTTTGAGACTTTTTACACAGCATTGGTCCTCTCCTCTGATTCACCATCAACACCCTCTGCTTCTTCCTTTCATAGATACCAGAGAGACAAAAAAAGCACTTATTTCTTTGGCTGTGTTCTGTACGTCAGACTTGTCTCCCAAAGGACGTCGTGACTGAGGACAAGGACGCAAGGGCCTTTGCAAAGAGGAGGTAGCAGCTGTAGATCTGGTAAAAAGGTCACATCTGATCCTGGTTCAGGTGTGATGAGAGCAGATTGAACAGGACTGGAGCTGATGTCTGAGGTTGTGTTATGGTCGTAGCTGAGGCTGAGGTCAGGTTGATCTAAGAGCAGATACAACAGAAACACAAGGCTTTGTATAAAGCGAGATAACGGTGCAGAGGTGATTGTTTTTTATTGTGACATGACATTTCAAAGTGGCTGAAAACGTACTTCATCCCAGGTGCTTGTGGTGTGCTTTTCATAGCCTACTGCATTGTTAGAACTGGTACCTGTCAGAGTGAAAAGGCCTTCAGCACGTAAGGCAGATTGGTGCTATTTCTGCTTCAGTAATAGTGCAGGTTTTCAAGTTGTCCACATTACCTCACTTACCTAAGTAGTCCTTGTAGTCCTTAAAGTATTTGTGCCTCAGACCACGTCCATCTGTAAATAAAAGGGCCAAAACCAAATTAAAAAACTGACATCTGATCTATAAAGTAAAAACAGTATGTTCTTTTGATTAAATCATTAGTTTAATATTAACAGCTTCAGCCACAGATCACAAGCTGAGGCAGTCTACTGAGTTGCCAGGTCACTTCAATTTGCATATTTTTAGATCTCTTAAATAGGAGAAACTTGGTGCCTAACAGCATGCTATCTGCCAAGAGATACCAGGCCAGACCCAAAGACAGCTGCTGGCATTGCCCAGCATCCTGTCTCTTTCCCTTGACGCTTCATAAGGACACACACTTTGGAGAGAAGTTCCTTTACCCTAGATAACTAGGAGGTTAGTTGTAAAAATAAAATGAACATAGGCCTGGATGTGACCTGGATTCAAAACCAAATCACAATCACATGGCTAAACATTTCAGTTACCAGAAGTCCTCTAGCCATACCGGAGTTACCGCGTTGCTTGATGCACTGTCCCCGGTTAGGGATGCCAGCCGCAGGGTTTCCTGGGTTGATGATGTGGCACTCGTAGCCTGTAGGACAGTGAAGAGGCTCATCTCCATCTTCAGTTGTGCTGCAGGCCTCAGCTAGTGGGCAGAAAACATTACAAGTAAACACAAACATGAAATACACCAGGGTTGTTTTTCTGGTTTTGTGGTTATTACATTTTTTATTTACTTGCATTCCCTCAACCTGCCATGTCTACTTTTTACTTCAACTTCATTTAGTTTCTTTTTTGCATCGCTCACTCAAACTTTTATATCTACAGAAGAATGGCAGAATAATGTATTTCCAGTTAATGGGAACACAAGAAGTATTAATTATGTACCCTCAATTAAATGCATCTTGTGGATGGATTTCATTTGGGTCATGAGATGTGACGATGCAAGAGAACTAGACAAGAAGATTTTTAGCAGTATTTAGATTCAATATGTGATGCAGAAATATATGTGAGGGGGGTCCTCATCCAGAAGATTTTGAGTATTAACCTGGTAATTTCCTGCATTCTGGAGATATTTTCTGCTCCAATTTACGGTGGAAATGTCTTTTTTTATGAGGGAAAACTATATTGCATTGCATGTTTTCTTATTGTGCAAATAAACCTTTTTCAAAGCATTTTCATGTGTTAGTTAACATTTCTTTGTGCAAGTTGTTTTTCAGAACATTTTTAACAAATGCTTTCAAAAAGTGATGGGACAAAATCAGCCATTTCAAAATGTGGTGGGGGACATGTCCTCAGTGTAAATGACCCCTATGGTCAATACAAAACCATAATGCACTAAATGAAACCTATTTTGTTCATACTCACTGGGAAAAGGATTACATTTTGAAGTACTCACCCTGCAGCACCTCCTCAGGGCCGTCTAACAGCCAGCCGTTACCCCCCAACCACCGAGGCTTGGGCTGCACCAGCCAGTCCAGCACTGTTCAGAATGCACACACACACATGATTGCTGAGAATGCAATGACAGAATCACATAGCTTAACAAGTCTTAAAAGTCTTACTTTAAAAAGTCATAAACCTATCAAAGTCCAATTTTACACAAACACTACTGTGTGTGCAGCCATCTGTCTTTTGGTTCTGCTGACCTGGTGGCGGCTGAACAGACTCCAGGCAGGCGTAGATGCAGCCATTGTAGCAGCAGCGTTTATGGCGCTCGCACTCAGAGTCTGAGCGGCAGCCCGGCACCTCACAGGCCCTTTCTGGCAGCATCTGTGGTGGCGGCGGACACCGGTCATTCTTTTGGTGCTGTGTGGACTGTGGGTGGTTGGGGTACTCGTAGTCCTGAGAGAGAGAAAAAGAGACTATAAATTAATAAGAATGTAGATGTGGTTTGTTTCTGTTGTAGATGATTCCCTCCCTCTACTCCAGGATTTTGTCCATACTTTGATTCCAATTAATACAAAGAAGTTGAGACAGGCAGACTAACATTTGGTTCCAAACTGAAAAAAAATGCTCTTCACTGGATGTTCACACAGTTTGCTTATAGATGCACATAGATTGCACTTTTTGACCACCAGATGGCAGCAATGGATCTTAGTGATTGCTTTTTTAACACAACAAAGCTACAGCAAAGACACTGAAGGTTTGGCTTTAGTATGCATGACTGCCTGCTAACGTCTTGATCTGGATTGGGAAGGTGATTCACTGTGGGAATAAACACTTCCCTTGTGAGTCTTAGAGGGAGAAAGTAGGCCACAGGACCCTAAGCCAAGCAAAGACACACTTCACACACTTTGGAGGATCGTGCAACATAAAGTGTAGGCCTACATGCACACACACACACACACACAAACACACACACAAACACGCCACACACACGCACACACACACACACACACACCAATGCGCACACTTTCCCACTGTTGCTGAGAAGCTCTGCTCTTGCATGCTTTCAGAGACTAACAAAATGGGATCTGTATCACAGCCATGGTCTCTATGGTTTAATAGTTTTTACCAAGCTTCAGCTCGGTTTGACATGTCCTGGACATACTCTTTCACATCGCTGGTATCAAATATCATATATTTTGTGCCACAGTGTATGCAGCCATTCATTGTTCTGGGTTATGTACACACCCATGTACACATGGGAAATATTACAACAAAATCCCAAGAAGCACAGCTGCCCCTGACTAAATATTAACTCTCATATTTTCTCATCCTGTATACTGTTATTTGATTTTGTATAACAAGCTTCAGAACGATCAAGTTTCCAGTTCATTCCACTTTTTACTTTTTACTGCTTTCCAGCACAACTACAGCAAATATACTGAAGTGTTTACTGGCTAGTCTAACAACCACAGGAGAACATAACAAGGAATAATTTAAGGACTGTTTTTTTATGTTCGGCCGTTTCTGGGGTGCTGTGTCACAGTATTGGTGAATGTACAGTATGTTTTTCCAGTTGTGAATTTCTCTGACTTTGTAGTCTCAGCCATTACCCATTTGGGAGGGTATCCCAGAGAGAGAGCGAGAGAGAGAGACATGTACGTTTTACACAAGATTAGTAATTAGTTAATCAGCTGGTGGGTTGCACATGGTCATTAAAACTGTGCTGTTTATTTGGCAGGCTTACTGAATGCTCTTACAAACCAACCAGAAAATGAAAGCAAATGTTTGGCGCTGACACGGTATCACTCACACTGGATTTGTGTTCCCTTTAACCACACATTAACTTGTTGTGGCAGCTGCAAGCAGTGGGTGGAGGGTTCTTTGCGGGGGGGGGGGGGGGGATGTGTGTTTCTTACCGTTCTGAGATGAGAGTTTAGGGTCAGAATTAAGCAGTGGAAGAAGTATTCAGATGTAAAGTAAAAGTAAAGTAGTAATTCCACAGTGGGCAAGTAAAAGTCCAGTATTGGAAATCTTAATTAACCTCATCATTATTCATTAGTTGAACAAAATTATAAACGCAACACTTTTGTTTTTGCACCCATTCATCAATAGCTGAACTAAAAGATCTGAGACTTTCTCTTTGTACACAAAAGGACTATTTCTGTCAAATATTGTTCACAAATCTGTCGAACTCTATGTTTGTGAGCACTTCTCCTTTGCCGAGATAATCCATCCACCTCACAGGTGTGGCATATCAAAATGCTGATCAGACAGCATGGGTATTGCACAGGTGTGCCTTAGGTTGGCCACAATAAAAGGCCACTCGAAAATGTGCAGTTCCATCACACAGCAAAATGCCACAGATGTCGCAAGTTTTGAGGGAATGTGCAATTGGCATGCTGACTGCATGAATGTTCACCAGAACTGTTGCCCGTGAAATGAATGTTCATTTCTGCAGCATGATAATGATGCAAGTATTTGTACACAAGTCCTGGAAGCTGAAAACATTCCCAGTTCTTGCTGAAAACATCCCATTCTTACATCCCAGTTCCACCTGTGAGGTAGATGGATTATCTCAGCAAAGGAGAAGTGCTCACTAACACGGATTTTGACAGATTTGCGAACAATATTTGAGAGAAATAGGCCTTTATGTAGATAGAGAAAGTCTTAGATCTTTGAGTTCAACTCATGAATGGGGGCAAAAACAAAAGTGTTGTGTTTATAATTTTGTTCAATGTATTTTGTAAACAAAATTTGCAAAGTAATTATATTAGTTACTAAAGATGTCAAATAAATGTAGTGGAGTAGAAAGTACAGTATGTACCTCCAAAATATAATGAAGTAAAAGTGGAAAGTAGCATAAAACAGAAACAATCAAGTACCTCATATTTATTACATTTACTTTAGTACTTAAGAACAGTACTTAAGTAAATGTACTTAGTAGCTTACCACCACTTGTTAAGAGTGATTATTATCACTGACATCACTTGTAGGCATAGGAATCAAATTTCATTACTTTTGGGGTACTGAAATGTATCCTCAGATTCTTAACCTTATTTACTTATTAAGGTTATTACTTATTAATGAGATATTTCCTATTTAAAGCTAAATCAATACATTTATATTAACAATAGAAATTATAATGTGTAATGTAAAAGGCGTCACCTATGAATGGAATATCAAGCAATAGTTGTTTTTTGTCAGTCTGCGTTTACACTATCTATGGCACTAAGCATGATCTACTCCTGTGTAAGTCTAGCAAATATGCCACTGTTTGCTATATCACAATATGCAAATGTTATTTTACAGGTTTTTGTGCTGCCCCAAAGTGGCCGGGAATGTCAGACTCATGAAGGGCAGAGCCAGATATATTGTCTTTTTTATTAATTGCAAGTTTCATTGTTATGAAAACCTGGTCGCTATATTACCCACAATGCAACTTGGCTACGACAGTTCGGACAGAGATTCTAGCATGTTTTGCTAGTAGAGCTACAGAGGTCTGGTAAGCTCACTTCTGTCTAATTTATAGACTGCATAAAAAGAAGTGGACCTAGCACAGAGGTGTTACCCACCGGTTTGTGGTGACCATTTTCGAATGAGAGAGTGGAGCTTGGTTAGTAAGGTGGATCCGTAATTCACATTAACCGTGATATTAATTGGTATGCAAATTTAGGCAAAAGGGAACAGGCATTAAACAAAAATGAACAACTGACTCCTGTCTAGTAGTTTCTAGAGTGTTACCGAACGCTGAATAAGACATTTCTAGGCGACCTTAATTTTGCATTGGCTTTTCTTCAGACCCGAGGTTGCCGCTGGATCTAACTCCACATGCCTAGATTTTTCTCAATTTAAAACTTAAGACCCAAGTGATGTCACTCTGGAGCCGCAAAAGGGTTTATACAACCTTTTTCACATACAATTTAAGTTTTTCGTTAAAATAGAGGTTTTTTAAATAGTTGTTGACATTTTGACACCAGTTTCAAACTTTCAAACAATGAAAAGCCCTGATGACGCCATTTTTACAGTTACTACTTGTACATGGTCTCACACACTGTAGATACAGGTCCTTCATACTCCTCAATCATGACTCTCAAGAGGTAGGTGAAACCAGTGGTTCACAATGTCTCTTGGTACAATTAGATCTATGAATGGGGACTACAAAGTGCACTGTGACGGGATATGACATAATGACTACTGCGTCTCCCCATGTCTCATATCCGATCTGCTGCTAAAGTCTGCTTCAAGTCTCCAAAACGAAGTGTGCCTTTCTGTTATATGAATGTGTTTGCATGCGTAAAGTGTGAGCTTTCTGGTACACACGAATACAC